TCTGTATCCCCTGACACGCATTCCCTGTGCGAGGGTGTCGACCTGGCTTGCTAGTGCCCTCGACTTGGTTGCCTACCACTGATGGCTTCATCGACGAGTCGAACAAATGCCATCATGGATAAAGCCAAGAACGCGGCGAGGAGGGGTCCGCGAGGGACGGCCCCACGGGAGGGAGGGCACCAGTACGGGCCCGTACGCAGCGCCCGTGCAAGCCCGTGATCTCGTTGACCACTCAGGCTGAGACATGGAGGCACACCTACAATCGCCCTCCCAAAATACATCTACACTCCGTGCTGGCCTAATCGTCTGGGTTCCTCGCAGTCGTAAGCTGGTAGTGGGAAGTCCTCAGAACCCAGTCCATCAAGTACACACAACCGTGCTACCCTGTCTGTTGCGTCATGTGTGGATGTGCGAGAGGTTCCCTAGTCGCCGGCGAGCACGCACTACGAAGACCCTCTGTTTCCAAACGTCTTTTGACTGGGCTCAATCATGATATCGGTCGTGATCGTGAAATGCCAGACAGAAGCGAGATAGCCGCCACGCAAATAGGAGCATTTGCCCCGACACCCAAAAAAACAAGAGATGGGATTCTTCCCGCTCGCGTTACCATGAAGGAGTCGTCGTATCGCTACGTTCCCTGCCTCTCTCACCGATCGATGCATGGACGATATGAACCCCGCTGTTTGACCTCAGCCGACATCACCCAACCCACGTACTGTGTCCCTACAGCCACCCGAGAATATCGGACTGGGATCAGGGCGCCGTCCTTTCGTCTCAAGTCATTCGTGGTCACGCCGCCGGGCCGTTCAAGGTTACACAAGACAGGCGTGGAAATATGTGACTGATGGAAGTCTTCGTGGCATCTCCATAGCCTTCTGGCATGGTGGCTTTGTCGGCACTGCTCATCTTCATGCACGGCTATTGAAAACATCCACTCGGGTGAGGAGCAGACCTGCATGATGTGCATCGTAGCATCTCGGGGGGGGTGGCAAAGGCCATTGCCTCCGAATGTACCGGCATTCGGAATCGAAAACATGGGAAACAAGGAGAAAGCGAGGTGGGCAATGTCGAGCAGGTCCGATAGACTACGGGCGAGCTAACAGGGTGTTGGGTGGTGGCATGATGAGGAGGCAGTCCCGTGGTCGTACACACCCCTCTCTCCAAGAGCCTGGCAAGCCTGGTAGTTCCCAACGTGTGCCTCCCAGTGAGACAGGGCGAAGCTGCCTCATGCTGCCCAATCGAATCATGTGCCACCGCT